CCCCCCCCCCCCAAAGCGAAGAGACAGCCCCCCCCCATCCCCTCTTCCACTTCTTCCCATCCCCCCTTCCACTCCCCCCCCCAAAGCGAGAAGACAGCGCCCCTCCCCACCCCCACCCCACCCTTTCCCTCCCCATATGTCTTACACGGGAATCACTCGCCTAACTTCCCTTCCGATTTCGAGAAGATTCGACGAGGGGAAAAGCGGGAAGGGGAAGTTTGTCGCACGGCTGAAAAGGGGGGGAGGTTTAGGGTTAAAAAAGAAAAAAGAAGAAAAGAAGAAGAGGGTTGAAAAAAGAAATAAGGAAAAAAAAAGAAAAAAAGAAGGGGAAGGTGTAGGAGATGGTGGGTGGGGAGAGAGGAGGGGGGGGTATGTAGGGGAGGGGGGAGAGGGGAAGGGAGAGGGGGTATGAGAGGGGTAGGTGGGGGGAGAGGGGTAGGTGGGGAGAGGGAGAAGGGGAGGGGAGAAGGGAGAGGGGGTATGTAGGGGGGAGTATATGGGTAGGGGGGAGAGGGGGTAGGTGGGGGTATGACAGAGGTAGGTGGGTGAGAGGGGAGGGGGAAGGGAGAGGGGTAGGTAAGGGGGGGAGGGGAAAGGGGAGGGAGGGTGTAGGTAGGTGGGTGGGGGAGAGAGGAGGGGGGAGGATAGGTAGGGGAGGGGGCAGGTAAAGGGAAGGGGGGTAGGTAGGGGACGGGGTGTAGGTAAGGGAGGGGAGGAGGGAAAAAGGGGGGTTGTGGTTAAGGGGTGAGAGAGAAAATATATATATAAAGATAGATAGAGAGAGTGAGAGAGAGAGAGAGAGAGAGAGAAATCAGAAAGGTATAAAAGAGTTCTTTAAGAAAATAACGAGGTGAGGTGGAAAAGACGAAAAAAGTAAAATAAAATGAAGAGAATAGAGGAAATATAAAGAGAAAAACATAACGAGATGAAGTGGAAAAGAAGATAAATATATAAAAGAAAAGTATTGAAAAAAAACAAAAAATAATAAAATAAGGATAAAGGGAAATATAATAAGAAAGAAAAAAATAAAAACACTTGCGAATTATGGCGCGACGCGTCATTGCCTCGCCGACCAATCAGACGCCGTTAAGTTTTCCCGCCAAAAGATGGAATGTCTTCTTTTCCCGCCAAAAGTAATTCAAGATGGCCGCCCCCGATATGATTGATATCGCCTTTTTGAATAGAAGATGGAGTGAGAAAGAGGGTGAGGAAGGAAACAGACGGAGGGGGGAGAGAGAGAGAGAATGGGGAAGAGGGAATGCAATAGAGAGGAAGGAGGAAATAGAGAAGGGGGAAGAAAGAGTGGAGGAAGAGGAGAAGCGAAATAGAAATGAAAAGTCTCATTTTTTCTCTCTCTTTTTCTTCTTTTTCGTCTTCTTCCTCCTCCTCCTCCTTTTCCTCGTCCCATCTTCCTCTATCTTCTCTTTTTCCTCCACCTCCTCCATCCCTTCTTCCCCCACCTCCTCCCCCACCAAGGAACCCAAAGCTAATACACCCCAAAATCCTTTCTTTTTACCCCTTCTCTCTCTCCGTCTCTCTTTCTCCTTTTTTCTCTCCTTCTCTTTCTCCCCCCCCTCTCTTCTTTTTCTCCTATTTCTCCCCTCTCTTTCTTTTTCCCTCTCTCTCACTCTCCCATCTCTTCTCTCTTTTCCTTTTTTCTCTCCCTCTTTCTTTCTCCCTCTCTCTTCCTCTTCTCTCATCTCTCTCTCTCTCTCTCTCTCTCTCTCTCTCTCTCTCTCTCTCTCTCTCTCTCTCTCTCTCTCTCTCTCTTCTCTCTCTCTCTCTTTTTCCCCCTCTCTCTCTCTCTCTCTCTCTCTCTCTCTCTCCTTCTCCTTTTTTTCCTCTTCTCCCTCTCCCTTCCCCGTTTCTCCTCCCGTCTCCCTCTCTTTTCTTTCTCCTTTTTCTCTCTCTCTCTCCCGTCTCTTTCTCTTCTCTCTCTCCCTTCCCCTCCCTCCTCTCTCTTCTCTCCTTTTTCCTTCCCCTCTCTTTCTTTTCCCCTCTCTCCCCATCTCCATTGAAGAGGCGACAGGGGGGGATATGATTGATAGCTTCTGAGGTTCTAATGGATCGTAAATAAGGGGATCCTTGGCTTGTGTCTGTCTGTGTGTGTGTCTGTCTGTCTGTTTGTCTATGTATCTGTCTTTGAGTTGTCTTGCAGGGGGGGGGATGAGTGTCTTTGTAGTGGTGGTTGCGTGGTTTGTTTGTTTGTGTGTTTTTGATGTGTGTGTGTTTTTTGTATGTGTGAGTTTTTTTTATGTGTCGTGTATGTGTGTGTGAGTGTTGATGTGTGTGAATGTTTGTATGTATCGTGTCTATGTAGTGTGTGTGTGTTTGTATGTATTTTTATTTTGTGTGTGTCTGTGTCTGTATGTGTTGTGTATGCCCGCGCGTGTGTGTGTTGTGTGTGTTTCTTCTAGTGTGTGTTTGTGTCTGTATGTGTATGTGTTAGAATTAAGAACAAAATAAAAGGAAAAAGAAAAGATCACCGACAAAGCAGAATAAAAACAAAAGAAAATAAACACCGAGAAAAAAAGAATAAAACAAACTGAAATTTAAAAAAAAAAGAAAAAAAAAAAAAAAACATAAAAGAAAGAAAAAAAACATCGAAAAAACACCCGCGAAAAGATAAAAGAAAGAAAAAAAGACACCGAAAAAGCAGAACAAAAAAAAAGAAAAAAAAAGAAAAGAGAAAAAAATACACCATGTCATTAGGGTCTCTCTACGCCCTTGGAGGACAATCTACACTGATCAACCAATACTGGCGGTGACACTGACATTAGGGGGGGGGAGGGGGACACTGACATAAGGGGGTAGCTGGATATTTTTTTTTTTTAAATCTTTCGTTCTCTCTCTCTTTTTCTCTTTCTCTTTGGTGTTCTGTCTTTCTCGTTAGTCTCTGTCTCTCTCTCTCTCTCCTCATCTCTCATCTCTCTCTTCTCTCTCTCTCTCTCTTCTCTCTCTCTCTCTCTCTCTTCTCTCTTTTCTTTCAGTCTTTTGAGATCTGTCATTCTGCTCATTCTCTCTCTCTTCTCCCTCTCTATCTTCTCTCTCTCTTCTCTCCTCTCTCTCTCTCTCTCTCTCTCTCTCTCCTCTCTCTCTCTCTCTCTCAATTTTCTCTCTCTCTCTCTCTCTCTCTCTCTCTTTCTCTCTCTTTTGAGTCCTGTCGTCTGTCTGTCCTCTCTCTCTCTCTTCCTCTCTCTCTCTC